AAAAAAAGATATGTTAAATAATAATTAAAAAAAAAAAAAAGAAAAATCACTCACATGCTCTTCCTTTATGCACGACCTGGCAACTGTATTGTATTAGAACTCAATCCCTTCCTGGGGTGTCTCTGATTTTATTCACACATTTTTAGATTTTTTTTCAATTATAAGCATTGAGTGCTGAAGCTGTGAAAAATGCTAAGAAGTTAAAAGCATCAACCTGACTTGAACAAGGAAATTACCTAAGATTTGAATATCTCCAAAATATTATGTGTTTACCTTTAACAGGGAGAAATAACGTTCCTTCCGTCCGTGGAAATGAAGCTTCATATACAGCAGAATTATAGAGCAAACAGTTTAAAGTGGCATCAGTTGGCAGAGCTGAAATCCATGGAGAGAGGTGAGGTTCACTTGACATCTTTCCTTCACCCCCAAGCACCGTCTCCGCAGGCTTAGTACAACCCCAGCTGAAAGTTTCAGGTGGCAAGACAGTGCCTCCTCCGTGGCGGAGCAATTCACAAATTGTCCAGTACCCAACATGGTCTGGCGACTCGCACAACTAAAATAAAAATGACAGAGGATCAGGTTAGTGTAAATCAGGCACTCATGAATAAAGCTAATGGCAGTAAAGTTGACACCAATGTTAAAAGATCCAGTTACATAATTAACATATTTGTCAGACCAAACACAAACACGGCCAGCAACCACTACTGTACAGTCCAAGAACATGATTGCTACATAATATGCCTTCAAGAAAGCATTCATTTGAAAAAATAGACTCCATTCGTATTTTCTTTTTTTTTTTTTCATTCATATTTTCCATCAAGGAATAGAACAGGGTATAAATCATGAAGTATAAAATATTAGAATTGGAAGGGTAGAAACTTTTACACATTAATAAAAATACTGCCTTACACAACATGAAAGTGAACAGGTGTCATGGGAAGTGGGAGCAGGGGCATACTGGTCGGATAGAATATGACTGTCACTTGGCTTTGGCCACCCATGGGGACCTAACAAGTCCTCCTCAACTTTACTTGAAGCTCTGTTATCTCTTTCTGAATTCTTTTTTTAAAAGATTAAAAAAATAAAAAATACAACCAATACAAAATTTCAAGATGACAGGAAATTAACAATGGTTATTATACTGTATATTGTAATTTTCAAAACTGTTGCTCAGATATAGGCATGTAAGACTGATCAAATAATATAAACACTATTCCTTTCAATGAATAAGAAATCAGTAGTATGGGG